TCCCCCCCCCTCCAAAACCCCCAACAAAACCGAACACAGATTTGAAGATCTAACAATAAGTTAGCACATTGATGACATATAATCAAAGGTCCCCTTTATTATTAGTCCCAGAAGGGCAGATAAAAGGACCTCACTATTTTATGATCTGGAAAGCACCACCATGTAGCTTTAGGTACGCTCACAAGAAAAGTGTTGTGGGTTTTTTCTTGGTTTTGTTTTTTTTTTTTTTTTTTTAATATCACACCTTATTCAACCACTCTAAAAATCTAGCTTTTAAGAAATGCAACACCTTGTAGATTTACAGGAATCCATTGTGATGATGCACTTCATAAAAAAGTCAACCTGCAATCTCCTCCTGCCACAGTTCTAGACCATGACTCCATCACAGAAGGATTTTATGACAAATCTTTGGTTCCAGGGGCCGTAACCCATATGATAAAGTGCACAGCATCCTACATGATGAAAAGTCCATCTTCCCAAAAGAAAAATTTCAGACAAGATACAGATTCTAAACCCACCTTGTAAATCCATGACTAAATGTTCCTACCATGCAACATCTGAAGAGGCTGCAATGTTGACAAAAAAAAGTCTGGCCAAGGAAAAGCATTTGTGAAACTTACTTCATTTTTTAATGTTTTTCATTAAAGCAGCAAAATCACCTGATAGACAAAAGTTCTTACTAATTTAAAAATCAAATTACACTACAGCAAGGCACCACAAACATCTAACACTAAGCAAATCACATAGCATTAAAGCGTTTAATCCCATAACTGCACAGAAAGAAACAAAACCTCCAAACTCAGAAAACATAATACAAGCAATCACTTGTAAAATTGACTCCAGTGACAGAAATACTAACTCTATTCTTCTTCTGTGAATGGAACTCTAGTGGTGGTCCTAAAATAGAGAATCTACCACATTAGCTCTGTAACAGAGGTATTTAGCTGCATCTTTTCAGCAGCAGCAGAGTTAAATCATATGTTCAATAAATAGGCCAAAGAAGAATCCACAAATTGCAAGACATACAACATACATTGGTTCCAAAGCAAAAACAGAGGACAGCACAGAGAAGTATTTCAATATACCTTGAGCGTTGAAGACTTCGTGGAGAGGCCGGTTCATGACCTGCCTGCTTGTCAGCTATTGCTGGCTGCTGAGGTGCTGCCTGTGAAGCTGGTCCTTGTTTAACACCTGGAGTAGCAACCTGGAAAGTTCAAAACTTCATTAGACTTCCTCCACAGTAAATATCAAGTGTAAGAACCAGAGGAAGACATGGAAATTACAAGTTACAAGACCAGTGGGGTTTTTTGATACAAGTTTTTTTTTTTTGTTGACAGAATTTTTATACTCTTCACAAGGTGTTTCTTTTTAAAAATCATCCCTAGTTCCACAGCTGTGATAGATAGCTTTTTTTACTAAAGTAGAAAGGTACTTAACAGGCATAACAGAAGCAAATTTAGATTCATCTGACTTGTCAAAATATTCCAAGTTTATTAGGTAAAACAGTTCAACCCAATTTAATTTTTGAGCATATCTTCCATGTGAGCACCAGGCTCATTTTCAACCTCAGAAGAATTGTCATTATCCAAATAAAAATTTTCACTTAAAAAGTTAAAAGCTCCCTACTTGAAAATACATTACACAGTGTCAAGAGCGGAATTAGGTCATAAGGGTATTATAACATCTCTATCAGAAACGGGAAAAAAAAAAATCTAAAGCATATTTATCAGTCTGCTACTCCCCCTTTTTAACTGTTCTATCAGTTCTAAGCTAATGAATGACAAAAAAAAAAGTCACCAGTAGCTTTTTACTTTTCATTTGTAGTACATATTCCCATTTAAGCTATTAAGACACCAGCAGTGAGATACAGTCTTTTTTCTGTGAATTCCTGAACTACAATCAGATGAAAAGTTTGGGAATATACTAGTGTGTAAGTTATAGTAAATGGAGTTCAAGTGGGGATTTTTTGTACCATACTCTGCATGCCTCTGTCCCTTTTAAAGTACGTACAAGAGAGGAAGCAGCTCCAAAATTTATCCCCCTCTCCCAAAAATCAAGCTAACAATTTTAAGAAAGAAGGAGGGAAGAAAAATGGGGTTTAGGGATCCATAAAGACAAAAAACATAAATCAGGCAGCCTGTCTGGCATTTGCTGACATCAAGCTGGTGTAGATTACTAACTAGGTCATCTGAACCTCCAGAAATTCTCTCAGTTTCAGAAACAGACTCCTGTGAAACAAACCACAAGACGGCAAGTCAGACAGTATCTGTTAAAGTAAACTCAAGACATAAGTTCATTTATTTAAATATACAGGAAATCTTAATGTAATCTTAAACCTTTTATGTCTAAGAGGAAAAGCCACCTTTTAAAATTACCATCAAAGGCCAAAAAAAGTCTGAATAGCACATGAAAAGGTCATGGTTCTGGAAAAAATAAAGCAAGATCATTGTAAGATCACTCAGTGTGTTGAAATCAACAGAATTATACAGTTGAGAGGGGTGAAAAAGTAGCAGTTCATACATTAATTTATGAAAAAAAGACTACCTGAGTATCTTTATGAAATGCATGACACAGAGAACTTTGCTATCAATGCCTGAATTTTGCTCATGCTGTGAGCAGACACAAGAAGAGGCTGTTTGAACAGAAGGAACAATTTCAAAAGGAAAGTCCATCAGAGATAGTACGATCATGTTGCCCATCCAAACTGGAAAACTAATCAGCTCCTTGGCTGGCAAAAATGAAAGCAAAAATGGATTGTAAAGAAACACTGGGATTTGTGAGATACGTGAGCCACAAAAACTTGTAACTATTCCTTATTTTCCAAGTGTACCAGGAAGAGAAAAATAATAAGGGCTAAATTAAATTCCATAAGCAACATTCTCACTGAGCTTGAGAAGTCTGTGTAACGTATGCTTTACAGAGTTATTTTGCAGAAATTCAGAACAGTTTCTAACTACACAACACAGGCACAGCTAAATAGCAAAGTGCAATGCCTAGGATCCTGGAGTCAGTGATACCTGAGCTGCTGTGTGCATACAGCACACCTCCAGGCAGACATGCCAGCTTGAGCTTAAAAGCAGTACAGCCATGTTCATGCAGTCCTAAGTGCAAATGGCACGACACTGCTCCCAGAGCCAACCCAAGTATGTGGGCATCAGGCACTGGGCTCTGCTTACATGGTGCCAGTTCAGCTTTGTCTACGCCTGCTGCATAGAAGCACCCTAAGCCAACGAGCTTGTGCTCTGGAACCAAGTGTGTCCTGGCACAGCACCACATCTGGATTATGCATAATTTACCTCAAACTCTTAGAACTGGACAGGCTAATGTGACTGACATATCCAAAGGGGTACTAAACAGACATGCTTACACTGGAACCATTACCACCTCAGTTCTCATCTCAATCCTATGGAATTGAAATAAATGAGTACAAGAACTATGAAGAAAGTTCTTTCCCTAAAAAAAAACCAGAATTTGTTACTTCTGGGACTAACACACAAACAATTCATGTTAGTATTTCAACAGCTCTGTTGTTAGCACCAGATTTGAGGAACACAAAAATCAAGAAAAGCTCCTGCTGTCAAGCATTACTACTAATTCTGTTCAGCTGATCTGTGAAGCTACTCAAGATACTAGAAAATAAAAAGCTTTTATGGTTATGATATCCCAGTGTAGTAAGAGTTTTAACATCCTCACAGAGGGATGGGAGTGAAAACTTGCCAATGTATATAATAACACACAACAGTCCGTCAGGATGAATGGCATTCTGAAGCAAAGACATTATAGCTTAGAATAAGTAACTCGGAAATTTACTACACTTAACACTTTGATCACAACCACATTATATGTGCTTCCAGATGTACAATCTTACCTCATCGTGGTGCAGTCTTAAGGAAAGATGGATTAAAATATAGTAATTTCAAAATGTATCACAGTATGCTCATCAAAATATAGACATTACCATTTTCAGAAGAACTTCTATGTACAGATCAATAAAAAACAAAGTACCCTCCTTTGAAAATACCAGAGGTGAAATCCGGCATGCCAAGTCACTAACTATATGCAGGGCTTTGTGACTGCCTATAAGTGGAGATTCTCTTATTAAACAAAGCACAAAATAACCAACACTTTTTTTGTTGTTTTTTTGAGGAGCAGCAGCCTTGCTGTAGTTACAACTTGCACTAAACTCAGATCAACTCTTTTCAAATCTGCATTTAGCCTTGAAGGTTTTTGCTTCTACTGAAAACCTGAGGGAAGGCTTGTGTGCCCAGAGGCATATTCAATTATACAGTTGGTCTACCAAGACAGACTGGCCCTACTTAGAACACTTGGCTTGCCTTCACTTTCTCTTAAGGCATAGTTTACTACCACACCACCTACTTCATAGGTATAATGCTGGCCTCTATACTGGGTGAAAGGCAGTGGGTTCAAGGTTGTCCACACAGTTCTAGGAAAACATCTGTAGCAGGATGATAAATACTAAAGAAGCTAAGCTTATAAAACAAGGATAAATGTCTTGGGGCAGGGGCAGAGGGAGGAATCCCTGCTGAGCTGTCCTTCCTTCAAGTTTTCTTTCAGAAAACACTGTAGAGAAGATCCCAAAGGGTAAAACTTTAGCCATGTTTATAATGTAGCTGATAATCAGAACATTATTTATGAAGTAGATTCAGATCTCTGGGTTGTAGAGACCAGAAGATACCAACTTCCAAGTTACTGACAGTAAACAACTTAAGATTCTTTTTCATATCCCAGGATATAAAAGTGCCAGACATCTCCCTTCTTTGTTTCAAGTGTGCTATTTGATAATTTCATTGCTTGTCACCTAGCTATGGGATGTGACCACATCAATTCAGGATGCACTCCAGGGGCAGAAACAAAGACAACAAGCACGATTAGTACACACATGAGGCTTTCACAATTCACTGTACCATTGTCAATCACAACAAACCAGGAGAATCACTTGGTTTTCTTTGTGCCCATGAAAAAATTCAACTGTAAGAAAAAGAGGCATTTAGACTAGAATGAGGAATGCAAACTGTCCTCTTGAAGATAAAAGTATTCCTTAAAGGCCTTCAAGACATAAGAGGTTATTTTCCAAGCAGAAAATTGAAAGAAAGATGCCTTAGGTACATGGGGGGGAGGGATGGAGAATAGGAATCTTGGGGGGGTGTGTGTGGAATTTTCAGACAGGGCCGGTCTCACCCCAAACTCTAGAGTCACGCTTCTTATGCTGATAAGATACTACATACACTGAGAAACACGCTGATAGACTGGGTTAAAATCTGACTGTCTCGATCTTGAAAGAAAGATCTGTACAAGGAAGAGACAGAACAAGCTCCCATTGCATGAAAACAGCAAACCTCTAGGAGAGGTCCAGATCCTCTTCAATGGACTTCCATTTTTCACAGCCAGAACACCACTGTAAACTGCTAAATATTTGGTTTGCTTTTCTTAATAAAAGGCACAAGAGTGTTATGCCCAGCAGCTGTACCTTGCACGAGAAAACTATCTTGAATGTAAAAAAGTTACTTTCCACCAGAGGGTGCAAATCAATACCTCTGCCTTCAGTCCCCTTTAGTAACAAAATCCTCCTTCATAATAGGTCCTTTAACCCAGTATCTCTTCCCACCCTTGCTCTATAATATGAATCACAAGTCTTTAAAAAATGGAAAAGAAAAAACGCCTAAGGGGAAGTTCATCTTGAGTGCCTCTAATTACATCCACTTTTCCCACCTGTACACAGCAAAACAGAGTCTCTGATCCACTGGACCGAGAAATCAAACAAATAAATAAATAATCTCAGCTTCAACTGTATTTATTCTTCAATATTGCCACTTGTAGGATATGGAATACTGAGCTCAGATTCTGCAAAAGACATTTTTCCCTCTGAAGTGTGACCCACTAGAGGGATCACACCCAAAAAAAAAAAAAAAAAAAAAAAAAAAAAAAAAATTTTTTTTTATGTTTTCTACTTCATCCTTCAGAAGAACATTAGGAGCTTCAATTAATGTTTCCTAGTCACTGATCCAATTAAGGAATTCTGAATGAATGGGGGTGAGGGGGCAGGAAGGGAAAGGGACATAATGTTATTGACCTTGTAAACACCTAGAACATTTGAGACTGCATCAAGCCAACTTCCCCAAGAATTTCTCTCCCATTCTAACAATCTTTCATTGGCTAAAGCCTAGATAACTATATCAGCTGTTGCCTTTGGAGCAAGTTTTTGTTTCCATTTAAATATGTTAAAATATTGATCTCATGGTAGTATCTCCAGACAGCATCTGAAGCGAGCACAAGATTTTCTTCAAGAACAGAAAAGTGTACTAGAATTTCATGCTAGAGTTGTACCGCAAAAATACAGCCAAGTAGTTGCTTCCAGTTGTTTCTGTTTCTATAGGGAAAGATAACATACATATTTTATCATCCTATATATAACTGCTAACACATGGATATATAGCAGCAATACTTAATATTACCTATAATGTTTTTTTACTACAATATGGCATAAATCAAAAGGAGCTTACCTTCTGCTGCGATGATACCGGTGGCGTAGTCATCAAAGGTTTAAGCGGAACAGTGTTAGTCTGAGGCGTGCTTATTCTTGGAGATACGTATGATCTTGGCGATGAGGCATCAGATGTTAAAGACATTGGAGACTGATTAGATGGCTGAGCTGTAAAGAAAAAAAAATATTGTTTTTAATAAAACCATATCCTACCTTAAATGTGAATTAGATTTTCTTTTGGTACTTGCAGTATGCTGTATTAGATAATATACAAACATACGCACCTTGAGACAGCTGGGGGGGTGAACAACTGGAACAATCAAATGTTCAACAACAGTCCTAACTAAAGAATTGTATTTTCCCCAAACCCTCCACTTCTAAAACTTGACGGGAGGGGGCAAAAGAAGAAGCTATTATGCAATGTTTTTTACAGGTGAAGAGACTAGTTTCATTTGCAATTCCTATTTTAGAGTGCTCAACAAGATTTAACTGAAAGAATGCATGAACAGTATCTAGAAACCTATTCACAAATTCTAGACATCTACCAACAGTCCCCCACCCATGTTTTAATTACTGGTTAAAAATTAGCATTAGCATAATACTGCGTACCTACTCAATAACATGACTGCATTTATTGTTTTGGTTTAAGTTTCTAACTTTATTAAGGTACAAACCAGAATGTATTGAAGATACCTGAAGGAATATCTTGCCTGGAAGCTGAAAAATACTATCTACAGAAGACTACAAAAAAACCCACCACTAGATAGAATAAACTTTCTTTTAAGAATTTAAGGCCTCCCCCAAAAGTCACAGTTGCACAGTATTACAAAAAGGGTGTTCAACCAAGGAAGAGTTGTGTTTTATATTGAACATTAAATAACGTCTAATTAAGGTTCAGAATAAATTGAGAGGGTCTCACACGTTTCACATTACTCGTATAGAGTTAGTTAACATACAAAGAAAATGCCAAAAGGTGAGACAGAGAAGCACATTTACTTAGTTGTGTATCAGCTTCCTGCTCCCCAAGTAACAATTTCTTATCCTGTCTTTGGAAAAAGAAGTCATTCGACATCCTCCACACCAGATGGCCAAAGATACAACAAGAGACAGTTTCTGCAAGTTTCAATTGTATCAGCCTTTATAAAATGCAACATAACGATTTTACATAAGTGAAAAGAAGACTCTGAATACCTTGCGTAGACAGTTGTGCAGCTTGAGAAATTAGGGAAGTGATATTGAAAGCAGATGGTCCAGCAGTAAGAATTTTATGGAGTATAGACTGCAGAGAGGCTTGTGTCACAGCTGCTGTTAGAACTAAAAACAAACATTCTGTTTTACTGGCAATTCTAGAACATCACTTTAAACTGTTCAAACTGGCTAAATACATTTAAGCCACATTTTCTTTCTGATTTTGTTCCCGTATCCACAATAGACCAAAGAGCCACCTGAACTATTTTTCAGTGACTTGAATTCAATTCATGAATGCTTGGCATGTCTCACCAAGTCCTTTATTTAGTAGTTTTATCTTTGAGACATACAGTAAAAAAAATCTTTTAGAAAGTAACTTTAACTCTTCAGCTTGACCTTACGGATCAATAATAATTCTTGTAAACATAAAGAAAACATTTGTTCAATTTGTTATTGCAGTAAGCAGAATGTGTAGTGTTTTTTTAAAAACTACAATAATTTTAAAAAAGGCAAAAAAGCAGTATCACTTTAACTCACTAAAAGAGATGGGGGTGGGGGGCAGAGGGGAAAGACTTCCTGTTCAAGGAAAAAGAAAAGATCTTTCAAGTTAAGAATCCAGACAATTGGTGTTTTTTCTTTAAAAAAAAAAAAAAAAAAACACACAACAGAAACACCCCACAAAACAACACTTGTTTGTTCTGGGTTTAGCTGTCCACTCCCCGCCCCCCCAGTAAAAATTAATCATTTTCAACCAACGGTTTTAAAACTGCACTACACAGGAAGAGCATCTTGCAGTATGAGCCGATGAGACCCAGCTTCTGAACTAATCTTTTCAAAAGGTCTACAGGCTCTGTGGGATACTTCCTGAACATACACTACCCAGGCGCAAGTCTGAAAAAACTGACTCACCAGCACAAAAACAGAGTAACTGCATCATGTGCACAGTAAGGGCAGTCCTGCTGCGCAAGGTGCAGTCATTCTGCCGACGTGGACCTGCCAGCCAGGCCCTCGTGCCATCAGAACAATACTGAACACTCTTGTTCCACAGCTGCTGCTCAGATACAGCAGGAGAAAATGACTAGGAACTTAAATTGGCAGCTAATAAAATACGATTGGAGTCTTGATTGGACCTTTCATTTTTTAACACAACCAACCACGATACTCTTACTTTTTTTTTCCAACCTATTGCATTGGTTTTAAAAGCTTCTCCCTGCACAGGAAAAAAACAATAACCAACTCACCTATCAGTACTGAAGCCATAATATTTGCTGATTGAAAGGAAGTCAGTCGACAGCTTTTCCTTATAAATAATTGTAACATACATAATAGTAAAATTTTAATTAAAATTTTACTATTTTGACTTTCCTGGTTAGCACTTTTAAAAAGTTAAAGATAATTAACTCTGGGCACTACATGTAAATGTTTTGCTTCCTATTTAAATCGGTGATTAGTGCGCAAGAAGTTCAAAGAAGCAAACAAAAAGTCCCCCACCACTTTCTTCATCAGTAACCTGCCACATGCAGACACATCAGATAAGACTACATTCAAAATGCATTAATTCTACCCGTTTTTGCAGTGAAAGGCACTATAGCTAGTTCTAAACTTCCTTCTAATAAACTAGGCTGATGTGACAAAAATCTAAGGGATACACCAATTACATGCACAAAATTTAACTTGCTAGCAAAATTACGCATATGCTATCTTTATTCAGAGATGCTAACATGTTCTGTTAAAGAGAAAAAGTTGATAGGCAACAAGATTTAAGAATCCCTAGAAGTTTCAGTATTTGCAAACACACATTATTAGAATAGCAGCACAACTACAGAAAACAAAGACCATTGCATGAAACAAAAGATCAAAAATCTCTAACTAAATTTTGTGCAACAGATGAATGCTGATACAGCGATTAAGTCACCAGTCTCAATTAGACTGCTCACATACATCAGCGTTTATTAGCTTAACAATCTTAAATGTTACTTGGCTAATTTAAAAAGGTTTAGCAGGGGGAAAAAAAACCACAACAAAAAACCCACAAATACAAAATAATCCCCACTTTATCTAGGAATTCATTTATTCACTTTTCATATAAAGTAAGGCTTGCATTTACTACAGCTTAGTATCCAGTAATATTACTAATGTGTGTAAATATGAGATTACATCACCTTTAAAGAATCCTTACCTTCATTGATTTTGGATATATCTACGCTAGAATTATTAAGCTGCAAGGTGGCTTGCAGTGCAGGCAGCAGCTGTCGAAGGAGATTTGGGTCCTGAAGTAATGGAGGAATTGGTGATTGTGGGACAGGTGAGACAGGAACTGTAGGAGCAGATGAAGCAGGCGCAGAAGTTGGATTCAGTCCAGAAGCAGAAGATGTAGAAGGAGTTGTGCAAGAATGGGATACAGACTTGTCCACAGATGCAGACTCTGAACAGAAGACAGACAATAATTTTCATTTTCCCCAATATAACCCAACAACTTCTCCCTAGTACAATATTCATACTAAATTCACAAGATCAAATGCTTAACTATCATTACAAGAAAAAAAAAAAGAACATAACAAAAATTGAAGATATCAAATATCTAGTGTAACTTAGGCTACTGAACCTAGTATTTATTAGGAACACACACACACACACACACAATCTTTCCACTTCAAGGTATTGGACTGAAAGCTGCCAGTATTACAAATGGGAATTTCGCCCCCCCTAATTTTTAGGATAAATGTGGGCCAAAAATTCCTTAGTGATTTTTTTCTTTTACTGTGCATATACCCATATTCTATATTTTCACCCAGGATTCCAATCTTTCTTTGGAAAACATGCTACGAACGAAAACCATATAGTCCATGGACTTTACAGATAGGCTAATATGCTGAATTTGAGGGGAGGGTATAAGCCATGCTTCATTTATTCAGAGACCAGATTGCAAGAAGCTACAAAATAAAGAACAAGTCTATCATACACAATCCAGCTACATTGCTCAGGATTCACATACAGGATAATGAGCTGCACTAGAAATGTAAAACAAGAGCTGTTAACATCCCCACAGCAGAGTGGAAAAACATCTTAAAAATGTATCTGCCCATAATTAATTTCAAACTTGTCAGCTTCTCCCGAAGCATCGAGACCTATATCCTTTATTTTACTAATCTCATTTTAGCAAATATCAACACTTATTATCCACAGAAATGCTTAGTACTTAAAAGTCAATTATACTGTATAGCAATTTGTTCTAATTAATGTGAGTTATTTAATTAATTTTAAGTTTGACTTCCAGTTAACATGACAGTTTCTCCTCCATTCCAGTACTGTGAGAAATTCCTATACTGAAAGCATTTCCACTTCCTATAGGTGTACCATCCGTCACTTCAAACAGCCTTCCTTTGAGAAGCCTGGACCACTATATTTCAATTTTAGCTTCCCCTTCTCTCATCCCCATCAAACCCGTAAGAGACCTCTGCCCCCAAATTCAGTCAAGACTAATGCCTCTATAGCGCCAAACAGAAGAAGAGTGGATGAAGAGTGGAAAGATGGATATGGATCCAAGATCTCACCCAGGATGACTGCCCACAATATTGAAGACCTGGATTTTAAACCCACCTCAAACTGGGCAGAGAATGTCAACCTGGATATTCCACATTTCAGGCAAAAATCTAAATGAAAGTTAAAATAACTGGCCAGGAAACTCTTTTACTCTAAAGGAGTGTTTGAGGGTTTGTTTTTTTTTTTTTCCTTTGGAGACATGGTCAAGGTAAGAGGCAGCTGACTTTTAGTAAAGAAGAAAAATGAAAAGGTCTTGTTTTGGTTTACTACGTAAGAATAAAATGTTATAAAATTTCTAAAAGCTTTTGTTTTCTGACAGCCTTAATTGCAACTTTTGAGACTAATTTGCAGAAGAACCCTAAAAAAATAAAAATAAAAAATGACTTAAGCAAGATCAATACATAAATCAAATGAGATTAGAAGTGTCAGTGAAAAAAAGGGGACTTCTGCTTCTATGGAGTTACAGTAGAAATAGTTCATAACAGGTCACAAATACTCCAAACAAACCTTTTCCAGCCAAGTAGCTGAGAAATCTAAACCAGAAAAAAAAAAATGCTGAAGAATCCAAATTTGATGGCTTGCAAGGATGCAACAGCCAGGGCACACAGACATATATTTTGATGTTTCAGGCAAACTTCTAAAGAAGAGGTGGCCTTATCTAGTTACGAGCTCCTCAGGACAAGGGGTTGGCTTTCAATGTATCTGTAAAGGGACCTGGTCATTTGGCCAGGAGCTTTCATAAGACGACCTTACAAAGGGACAAGAAGTGTTACAAAGACTGAAGAGGAAAAAAAGCAGTTACAAAATTTTTATATGGTTTTCAGTAACATGTCACTAGGACAGCTAATTAGGTATTAGTCGTGTCCCCCCACCCCCCCCCAAACAGTAAGTCATTAGTAAAAGTCTCTGTAATAGAAGTATTACATACAAAATGTTACGTTATGGTGTTCAGAGTAAACTTAATAAGACAACTAGAAGTCAAGACACATCAAGCAAACAAGAATCTTACCCTACTAAACAAAAACATGTACAGTTTAAATTGAACTTGGATCTGTCACAGTCCAAATAAGGACAAGGAGATACGCTGGCAGACAAAAGCAAGGGAATTAAGCACAATGGGTCATGTTAGTACTCATACATACATATCTCCTACCCTATAGCTTTGAGAACCTTACAAGAAAAAAACAAAACAAAACAAAAAACAAACAACGCCCTCATTTAAAAACAAACAAAACAGGAAAAAAAAAATACAAAGCAACCACCAGCACTAATTTCAAAACATATTTAATATAGTTAGGCTTGTCTTCACAGTTAGATTGAGTTCTTTTAAGTGAAGCAGCAACTCACTACTATATTATTAATTCACATAAGCAATACCTGAGCTTCAAGCCACACCACCATACCAAACAGCTGGAAGTATTTTTCACTCATGCTGCAGTTTTGAACACAAAATAAACTGAATCAAAAGCAAACTTGAGCTAACAATACAGTGAAGACAAACCTTAAGACCAGTTCTGGGTATTTACTCATTTCTTGAATAAAAGGACTCAAAATATGTAATACAAAACCATTGAATTCCAACAGGTCTGTAAAAGTACTTTAGTTTGGGCGTGTCTGCTACAAAAATACAAACTGAATTACATCAAAACACCACAGTCCAGCTAATTCTTTCAGACAATATGGAGACACTACTCTGTAGCTGTATTATTGCAGGTATTTTAAGTATGTGTTAAAATGTATCTCTGAAAGATTTTTTTTTTAATATATATACAATCACCCAGATTAAACACCTAGAGAAAATGATGTGAAAAAATCATGGTGTCTAATGCAACATTCCAATCTTTTGAGATTGTTAACATTACAAAACCAACAGCCCAAATGTTATGAAAGAATACATCTCTATGATCATGACTACCTATACATACATCATATTATAACTCTGTGTTATTTAACACGGAGGATGCAGAGCACAATGAATGCTCAGAGTATCACTGCACTTCACAAATTAAGTAATGTAAGTTATTCTTAGTGAAATAAAGGGTATAAACCTGTTTCTGCCAAAAAAAATTGTAAAAAATATTTGTGGAAATACACGTATTTCTTGTTATATTGAAGTAGCCTGAATGGCTATTATCTTCTCTACAAAGGGAAATTTCTTTGTGATGAAAACAAACATGCTAAAAATACAGACTACAGATTAGTTCTGTATAAACACAACTTTCATTACCTTAATTTAAACCAATCTATCTTACTCCACTGCTTCCAGACTGGACACTTGATTTCACAGAAAAAAATCCAAGAAATACTGCCAATAAACAAAGCCTCTAAATATTTACACATGAATTTTTGCATAATACAATTACAAAGGTTTAAAACTGGTTTAATTTATGATGCTATACAGAACTTGCAAGTTTCGTCTTTGAAGTTCACACAGCTAGTCAAAACTCCTCAAGATGAAATATTTGTTTCACAAAAATCCTCAGATATCACTCACTGGGGTGTATGCATTTCCCCTACTTTTTCCACAAACAGAAGCGGAAACTTCTCACTCCCTCCTTTTCCTCCCTAATTCCTCTGTTCTGATCTGCTTTGAGACACTGTTTCGTTGTATGTTTTGCCACACAGTTAAGTTTACTTTTGAACATTTGAACACGATTTCCTACTTTCCAAAACATTTACACGGCAGTCATTCATAAACCCAATTTGAACCATTAATACATCAATGAGACTAATTTTGAACCTACAACTGAAATTTTACAAACAGAAAATGCAAATTTGGTCTGTGTCTTACAGAAAAAATATTCTTAAAGGAAAGATGAACTATGCTGCAAGGCCTGCAAAAGTCTTAGAAGATGACTGAAGTTGCCTTCTATTGGACAGGGCAACTCTGCAGCCTCTTCATTGTCAACACCAATTTCCATACAAATGCTATGCAAATGACTCTTCAACCTCACATAAAATTTCAGCTATTATGAAAGTCCCAAGGAAAACTTTTAAAATAATAACTAATAACTAAAAAAAAAAAGCAGAACACAGCCAGCTGCAATCTTTTGAACTGCTGAAAACTTTGTTAATTAAAATTTACATTTTAGCTCTTCCTCTGAACAAATAAAAAAAAAATTCTTTTTTAAAATCATTTTCTGTGATTTTAAAAAGATGACTTTGCACCAATCCTTCCATGATAAGCTGAGCACATTAAAAACTTTGAACTCCTGGAGCTTTTAAGAAAACTTAAAGAAAAAAAATCAATTCACTTTGTTGAAACAATGTGAAAATACAGCATGCTTTCTGACAATCATGTAAACAAGCTCATTAGATGCAGCCTACATATAGAACTATGATATAAAATGAAACAGGTTTCTGGACCGTCAACTTTAATCATATGGAAAAAAAATGAGCAAGAAATAAAGGAGGAAAAGAAAGTAATCAGCAAACAAAAACAACTACATGTGGAGATTAACTTAATGTTAAGAACTATTAATTGGTTTTACATTAAAATGGAGCAGGAAAAACTTTTTTAAAATAAAAATAATTTTTGAAGACCACAATGACTAATCAGAGCTTTCTATTCATAACCTACTCTGCTGGAGTGTGACCTACAATCTTTTGGACAAAAAGGAGAGAAGTCCAAGTTATCAGGCAGTATCCACTATGACAAGAACCTGTATGACACAGGTGTGTCTTTGCTGCAGGTTTCCAAAGAGGTATCTGAAGTAAACTGGAGGCTACTGCTTGCCCCAGAAACATAAGTCAGAATGGAAACATTATACTGCGTATTTCCTAGCAATGTGGATTTTTCAATAATAAGGCCAAGTAATCCTTTCAGAAAAAGCATCACAGATCATTTTCAGCAGTTGTGCCATAACATTCTTCAATCACAACCTAGATACAAGAAGGCAAACACTTAAGTTTCTCAGAGTCTGAGACAGTATATTACAATGTTGCTGAATCTTGCTGTTACCAATCCCTGCCCCTCAACACACGAACTTCTGCTCCTGAACAAACAGGTGATCCGCTAGTGAAATCTCATTCTGAAAGACAATTCTCAGCTTAGTATGTTACAGTTAAAGTTATTCAGACTGGGTTTAATGGAGGGGGATGAAAAACTAAGCTTTTTGACCGTTCAGCTCTGCTGGTTCAATGAAGAGCTCTTGACACCAACACTCCCGTTCCTCTGTTGCGCCTCAGTCACCCCCCGTTCTACCTGCTGGAGTCCTCTAAGTAACTGTTCCTAGTACTTGCTCATTCCCTTCTCGTCCACGGTGTGCCAAGTTATTCAGGCACATTAGTGTGACAGAGAAGTGAGTGGGGGAAAAAGAAACAAAAAGAGGAAATGCATTTTTTCTGCAATAACTTCCTTCACAGTCCTCCTCCTGACAACTAACTAGTACTCGCTGATCAAACAGTAGCTTTGAAATACCACTATATATAGCTTGCTCTTATTCTGCCACATATATGGACAGATGATTTATTTCAACAAAGATTTTTTTAATGACATGGAAATTACCCACTTACTGTTGACTGGGTAATTTCCAAACTATCTATGTGACCCCTTGAGCTTTCCAATAGCTTTTACTACTGATGTACATTTTTTTTGCCATTAAAAACAAAACCAATGTATTCACAGTCCTTCAAATTCAACACTACAATATTACCCAATCACTCTATTGTGAGCTTGAGTTTTGCTCTGCTAGCAACAGTCATGCACCTGTGCTCTCACAGCACGCTCTCTGTGGGAGGAAAACTGCATTACAAAATTTTCAGAAATTCAATGCCTTATTGCCCCATGCACCTCATCTCTGATATACTGACTAAACAACTACCACCTAGAACAGCTAACTGAACTGCTTGATTTACTGCTAATGATTAAGAATCGTAACACATTCATCTGTGCTGAAGTACCTTAAGTGTATAGTCCACCAACTCAGTTCTCTGAGCAGTGATAATCACATTTAGCTTTTTTACGTAGTTCAGTTCTGATCTAGTAAGGGCCTTAAGTCACACCAAAATATATACATATTTAAAAGCAATGCATTTTGTAAACACATTTGGCCAAATGAAACTATGGCAACAACAGTAACTGGGTTCTCAAATACGCTCAAATTCTCTAAAATACAAAAAAATCCATACTCTTCTCATTTGGATTACTCCAATCTTAAAACTTTTCGTATTTTATCTCTGCTGCCAAAATAAACGGAACAGCAATGCTCAGCAAACAAGTATAAAGTACTGGAACAAACCTCTAACAGTCTCGCTAGTGTAATTTTTTTCTAACCACTGCGTGAATTGAGTAATACCCTTAGAACTGCAAAACTCAGCCGAAGAAGATGCAATAATACCAGGAGCAATGTTAATAACTGACTGGAAAAGACTAGCAAGTGTTACAAGTAAGAAAACCACAGGGGTGAGAAAAGGATGAGGAAGAAGCTCAGCTGTCACTGACCAACCACTTCAATCTGTCAGCATGAGGGTCACAACCCACCCAGCATTGCACTGGCCAGCTTGCTGAGCACTCTCAGAAAAATTTCTGAGGATTGCTGCACTAGAAACAGAAGTGCTGCCTGATGGGACTTGGAGGAGAGGTGTGAGAAGTAGTATTCTACAGACAGACACACTGTTAAGATACAGACAATACAACATTTGATTCAGTAACTGAATTAGAAATAGGAAAATGTGATGTGCCCTACAGATAAAGCAGCCAAAAAGTAGGAAAAGCAACCCCACACTTTACCTGCATAAAGCACTCACAGTGAGCACAAACAGAAGCAGCGGATTCTGACTGGAACATTCAAACCAAAGGGTAGAGGTCAAATAGTTCCCCAGGAACTCTCCACTACTGCCAGCCATTGAGGGCAGAGGACTACTGCTAACAGCTGAGCTATAGTTCAGCCAGGGATTTTATTCAATCTCCTTGTGGGACTACAACATACCCCTGCAGCAAAAGAGATTGAGCTGAAAAAAGTGGTGGTGGTCGTGTTTTTTGTGTTTTTTTGTTGTTTTGTTTTTCACAACTATTACTGCATTAAAAAATACACACTAAGAACAGAACTATTAAAACAGTGGTACATATATGCTGGCATAAGGCTGCCAGCAACACATCGACAGGAAGAACTCATTTAGGCAAGAACTACTGCACATACTATTCAGTCATTTGGACCAAGCTATTTTTATAAGCAAAAAATACAGCTTTACCTATTTTTTGAAAGAGAGAGGGATGGCACAGCTAGCAAACAGGAAAAGATCAAGGGCTGTTTGCTCCACTAGTGTAAAAATAAACCCCTCAAACTATTTTATGATTTTACAGAGATACTTTTAGAAGATTTTTTTGAACTGTCTCAGGACATTTTTTTTTTCATTTTGTATAATGGCTACAAACACACACTTTTAAACACTGCATACCTATAGTACTACAGGTTCACAGTCTCCTCTGGGAAACTGAATAACAGAAGCAAACTATCAAAAAACATCCCAATGTACTGTACTGCTTCCTCCCTTCTTTTAAATTTAAATACATGAAATGTTATGGTAATTATGCTGGTCAAATTTCTTATTTAAAAAAAACAACAGAAAATCCAACATTCACAAAAAAAAAAGCAAGACTATTGAATATACTCTTTGAATGATCTCTTATCATAATATAAGCTGCACCGAATTTTTCTGTTTCTGTAAGAAGAGAGGTATTCAAGCAACATGTGAAAACTCACATTTTCTGGAATAAGTATTTCAAGCCTAACATTCATCTATTCTAATTCTGCTGTTACTTACTAACTTTCTGTAATCCACCCCATCTGAAGCTCAGGAAGTCCTGTATTTCCTCACAATGAAGTGCCATGAAACACTTATATTAATGAGGCAAGAGTATTACAGAGAATCTATCCATTTAACCCATATAAACTTAAAAAAAACTACACAGGAATACAGAAATTAAGTGATTATTTAACATGGAAACATCCACAGTAACACGGATTCTAAAGTAAGATTTATAGTGTCAAGACCACCCTGTGCAATCATTTTCACTATTCGCACCCAACTGTACTTTCTCAAATGAATGTCTTATGTAGGAAATACTAGCACTCCCTGCCAACATTTGTAGCAGTTGTCACAATGGGAAATTCCTTCTACTGCAGTATGATTCAGTTGCCCAATTTAAGTGGAAGCAACTAATAAAGGTGTGCAGTAAAGCAGGGAAAGAATATATCCAGTCTGATCACATGCCAAACAGGAATCAAGTACATGCCAGAACAGAGTAATAATAAGGGTTTTCTTTAAGTGTATTTTAAAGATAGTAATGAAAATAGAGAGGATATGCTAGAGGAGAGAACACCTGGCACAGATGTTTTGCACTGTTGTGTTTAAAAGTGCATCAAACTGCAATCAAAACATAGAGGCTGAACTGAAGCAGGTAATTATGCTATTCAGTACAAGAACCATGCATTAACTAGTACACCTTACTCCTTGCTGTACTGCATTGAATAGAAAAAGGCTCGCTGAAAATCTTCTGTTCCTCTGTAGTTTATAGTCAACATTCATGTACCAGGTCATGTAAAAATTGCACAAAGTCTCCAGAAAAACATACAGAATTTCTTTACACGCACAATTTTCTTACATTGCAGTATTTGCCAATGTATGGTATTGTTTGTCTATTTTGGATAGCGAAGTGCATTCACCTCTGTGTAAAAGCTGGAATCCTTTATTAAAAGAAAACTGGAAGGCAGCAAAGCAAACGCAGAGTATAAGACCAATGTCAGACCCGAGTCTTTTTGGTCTTTTTTTTTTTTTCACACTGCACTATTCTTCTGTAACTAGACAGACTTGCACATATCAACAGGGCAACAAGCCAGCTTTCAAAAAAGAATTCAGTGTCACAGTAATTAAGCAATGTTTTAAATTAATGAGACACGTTTATCAAAAATTACTTTTCCCCCCTCCCAAAGCCCCCAAAATAGAATTTTCTTCTACAATGTTACTCTCTAAGAACTCGACTATACCAAAGTGTCACACTGTCACTAATAACACACATCTCCATTCTCACAATCTTCTTGAGCTCTTCTTCCCTAATGAGGTAAATCCAATTAAAATACAGACTTTTGAAGAGTCACAAACAACGCACAGTAGAGTCCCAATCTCCGCTTGATGACTCTAAATGTTTCTGGTACATATTATACAGAAATACAAACTTTCAGCAGCTTTAGAACTGAAGATCCAGTATATCACAAGACATAGATCAGAACAGAAGAGTAGCTGTTATAGACATGTAGAAAACTGTTGCTTTCTGTAAGAATTGCCCTTGTGTTTACTGAAAAGTTTGACACTGGCGTTCCAAACAGTAACAGCAATTCATAAAATATAATGGTCCAAAATGACTTTCAAATGGTGTAACTACATCTATGTTAAGAACTCAAATAATGGCAGAGATCCGAAACAAGATGAGGGAGGACAAAAATTAAAACACGTCCTACCAAAATACATCTTTCAAGTTATCATTTGAAATTATAATTTACAGAATAAACTAGTAAACAGCAAATACTGCTGTGTCAATTTGAAGTTGTGTAAGATATAGAAAACTTGTTAAGGGGAAATAAACACATCAAAACAGTAACAGGGTTCCAAGCACACACAATCAACAGGAAAAATATCTTTAAATTCTAGCACTAACATACTTTGAACAAGCAACGCAAATGCAATGCATCATTTTAAATACCAGAAGGAATTTCATTAGACATACCTTTTCTCTCCGTTTTCTGTGCAGGGATGGAAGATGTGGATGTAGGCAGTTTTGATAAAGTAGATGCTCCATTAGCATCAAAGGATTTCTTTGGCTGGTGATCAGATTGTAGAGAAAATGGACTAGGAGGAACAGTGCTTGGGGTAGCAGTTGGATGAACCACTGGTTTGATGGGATGCTGTACTGGAGTAGAACTACTGTGAGTCTCTGCTCTTGGCAGTCTGTAGTCTCTGTCATTGTGCCTGCTTGTTTGAGATAAAATATTCTGTGGGAGCATACTACTGGCGTCACTGGAATGCTTGTCTTCCACTTTTTTCAGGATTCCCCAAGTAATGTTGCAATAAGAAAAAAAGATTAAATTAGAAACATGTCTAAGATTGCAGTGACTTTGATTAATACAGCTGCACATCAACAACTAGAGCTGATTGAACTTCTTATGATTAAAAAAGCCTCAAGTAGATCAGCATCAAAAAAGGCAAAATTTAATTTTACTCACTGACAAAATGCATTTTCTCTGACCTTTGCTTGATTTAGAGTTCCGGTTAAGCACTGTGTTTTGATGAAAGGCTGCTTTATAACGAGTGTTACAGTCAAGTTAACTTTTGAAGTCTCCTAAAAAAATCTAAATCAAAATCTATTATTTCCATCTTATATTTAGTGTGAAGAGATAATTCGTGCCATTTTTCTTTTGTTCACTGAAAATCCTGAACATCAAGCATAATTTAATAGTTTCAAATTCTAGCCTTCAAAGAATTCCACTTCAAGTTACTTGAGTACTACTACAAAGAATGTACTTTCAGTTTAATTAATTCAAGACAACTATATATTAAATGAGTGACTAATCTGCATGTCACACGCTCATAGACTTTAAAATACGCTACACGGGGAACATACCAAGCAAATATACAGTAATTCTTTTTATTGATTCCTAGATTTTCACCTGTCACAAAACAAACAGTTACTGCAATATGCATTTCTGCTATCTTTTTGTAGCATACAATAAGTTTTAGCATATGCAGTATGTTTCAGCATACACAGGAAAACAGACCTTTATACAACTCTGCCTTGTCAAGTCCCACGCAAGGGGCAGCGGGGGGGAGGGAGATTAATACTTTGGCTTCTACTTTGAAACCACCCTGCGAACTATGCTACAAATTCACCCAAACTACATCAGCATACAGAAAGAATCTCACAGTACAACCATTTCCCAGAAAAAATTGACAAAGATTGAAGTTAGTTATCAGGAAAAAAAACTCCAAGTAACAGAAATTCATAGTCCGGGAAAGGCTTTGCTAACAGTACTGGTGTGGTAAAAATATGCTTTCAATAATGTACGCAAGCCTCTGAAAATTCTGGTATCGTAATCCATTAAATTAGCTTATTATTTTCAGATGTGAAATCAAAGTTTTAGAAGAGACCTCTGCATCTCTATTTTTAAGCTCAGAATATGACATTGACAGGTCTCAACGATCATGACAGTCCAACTATACCATGAACTGTGCAAGTTGTTTCAATAACTACGTATAAAGATAATTAAATTATGCAGTAAAAGCTGCGAAAAGGAGGAGTACCATGAAAAGCATTAAGCAAGTGTTGTACTAGTAAAGGTTCAAAGTTATTTTAAGAAACAACATTTGGGAGAGCTGTCTGTGCTATCCGCTTTGGCTTTTTTATATAAAAAAGTGAGAAAAGCAGCTAAGGAAAGTGATTTTTTAATTTTTTTTTTTTAAGTTGGGAAAAGAAAACAGTAATGCAAACAAGGCAAGAATATATTACTGTAAAAAAACCACATACTTCCACTGGCAAACCCACTGGCAGCTGTCGCCTGCATCACCTCTCTTCTGTAATCCCTATCTTTTGGAAAACTGTTAACTGACATTTTGCTTGCTTCTTTTTGTCTCTGCTCTCTGAAGAAAAGAAAACACAAGAAAGAACATACATCATCTAATATATAATAATGTAACACTTTCTACAGGTGAAGTTACACAAGATGAATTAAACTATCCTAAGAGCTTG